AAAAATCTTAAAAAAAAAAAAATAATGACATAATGTTTAAAAAAAAGGATTTATTTATTAGTGCATGGGGCAGGGGGAGGAGACAAAAGAAGATGGAAAGAGAAAATCTCCAGCAGACTCCCCACTGAGCAAGGAGCCCATGACCCGGAGGCCATGACCCGAGCAGAAATCAAGAGTCCGATGCTCAACCGACTGAGCCACCCAGGTGCTCCAGAATAAAAGGCTTTTATTTATTTTTTTTAAGATTTTATTTATTTATTTTAGAGCGAGCATGAGCAGGGGAAGGGGGAGAGGGAGAGAGAGAATCTCAAGCAGACTCCCCACTGAGCATGGAGCCCGACACAGGACTCCATCCCAGGACCCCAAGATCATGACCTGAGCCAAGATCAAGAGTCAGCCGTTCAACTGAGTGAGCCCCCCAGCCGCCCCTCCAGAATAAAAGGCTTTTAAAGATTAGAAAGGAAAAATAAAATCAGGTTTTTCAAAGACATTATTAGGTACATATAAAATCCAAAAGGTATTTGGATAAACTATTAGAATTAATAAATGGAAATATCAAGATTATATGTTTATTTATCATCAAAGAGCAATTAGAAAGTTGAATTTAAAAACATGCCATTTACAATAAATACCTAGGAATAAATCTTTTAAAAAAATGTAAGACTCCTACACACACGCATACACACCAAAAAACCGTGTGAGTTGGGGCACCTGAATGGCTCAGTCGGTTAAGCGTCTAACTCTTGATCTCAGCTCAGATCTTGATCTCAGAGTCATGAGTTCAAGTCCCACATTGGGCTCCGCACTGGGCATGGCGCCTACTTAGGGAAAACAAAACAAAACAAAACAAGAAAACCCTATGAGAAAATGATTGAAAGGCATTAAAGACGACCTAAATAAATGAAGTGATGCATTATGTTTATAGCTGGAAGACTCGGTATTTTTAAAGAAGTCACTTTTCTCCCTATTTGATACATCAGTTCATTATAGTTCCAGTCAGAGTCCAGCAGGTTTTTATTAATTTTGTATGCTTTATTAAATAAAAGCTTCCTGAGCTTTTATCATTTCCATGTCTTGTGAGGGCCTGGTAGGAACCCCAGGTCAGGACACAGAGAGGCCACAACCATGCCAGGGCTACTAAGTCAGTTTTACTCTTTAGCTGTGAGCATAATTCTTACCCTTTCCAAATCTCTGTTTTTCCTTCTGTGAATTATGGAAAGCGGTAACTATGCCTTCTCTGAATTGAAAAGCCTTTGGGTTGTGTAAGTCAAGTGCTTGTGTGTAAATCTAAGGCAGTGATAGTAATTACAGCTCTTTTAGGCTTCTGAAATGTTTCTGACCTGTTTTTACATGGTTTAGGTGTTTTGCATGTAAATGTTTAATAAATTATCAGCTATGAACACTCCTGTTAAGGAGTGCAAAATAAGGAGTGTCCATATCACTCTTATTTAACCATGTTGTGGAAGTACTAGTGAGCATAGTTAGAAATAAGTACTAGTCAGCATAGTTAGAGATAAACAAAATCTACACTGAGGAAATTAAGGATATGATAATTCAGGAGGATCAACTAGGAATTACTTCACACAATAAGAGAAGTAAGATGGTTGAGTACAACATGGATAACAAAGCAACTGCCATAAGAGAGTCATTAATTGGAGCACCTGGCTGGCTCAGTCAGTAGAATATCCGACTCTTGATCTTGGGGTCGTGAGTTTGAGCCCCCCATTGGGTGTAGAGATCACTTAAATAAATAGCACTTTAAAAAATTCAATAATAATAAAAAGATAAAATACCTTGGGATAAATTTAAGAAGATATGTGCCCCATCTATATAAAGTTTTTAAATGCTGCTCTAATGCATTTGTGTTGTTTTTTTTTTTAAGATTTTTATTTATTTATTTGTCAGAGGGAAAGAGCACAAGCAGGGGGAGGGGCAGGCAGAGGGAGAGGGAAAAGCAGGCTCCCTGCTGAGCAAGGACCCCAATGTGGGACTCGATTCCAGGACCCTGGGATTGTGACACAAGCCGAAGGCAGACGCCTAACGGACTGAGCTACCTAGGTGTCCCACTCTTAATGCATTTAAAAAGGAATGCTTGAACAAATTGAAAAACATACTGTGTACTTGAATAATAAGTCTCAACATCATAGAGTTTTCATTCTCCCTAAGTTAATCTTTAATGTGACCCAAGAGATGTACCAATGGGAATTTTCTTGTGAGGAAGTTGGGACTTAAACTGATTTTTTAAATAACGTCAAAGAGAAACAAAAATCAGGAAAATTCTGAAAAGCATAGTGAGGGGTGAGGGCCTGTCCTTACCAGATATTAAAACATTGTAACTTCATAATAATTAAAATTATTTGGGGTGCCTGGCCGGCTCAGTCAGTAGAGTATGGGACTCTTGATCTCAGGGTCATGAGTTCAAGCCCCACATTGGGCATGGAGCCTACTTTAAATTATTTTTAAAAATAATTAAAATTACTTATATATCAGTAAACAGATTATTTGACTAGAATAGAAAGTTTAGCAGTTGACCCAAGTATAAACTAATTTATGATAAAGGTAGCATCCCAGATAAGTGGGAAAAGATGGATTTTTCTCTAAGAGGTATTTGGAACCAGCATAGACATTTGGAAAAAAATAAAATTGTAGTCATCCCTCACATCAACTTCAGAATAAATTCCCAGATAAGTTACAGATTTAAATGAATATAAAATGAAACCGCAAAGATACCAAAAGAAATGATGGGAAAGAAGTTTTGATAAATTTTGACATAAAACCTAGAACTCATATAGAAAAAGATACATTGGACTGTATAAAAGTTGAAAATGTTTGCATAACCAAAACTGGCAGAAACAAAGATATATGACAACTTTGGGAAAATATTTGCAATGTATATCATAGATCACATTTCCTTCATATATGAAGAGCTTATATAAAGCAATTAGAAAAGATCTATATCAAACAGAAAAATAGGCAAAGGGTAAGCAGGTAGAAGTTACTAGTGGTTCTTAAATGAAAATATGCCTGACTTTAGCCATTAAAGAGATACAAGTTAAAAGTACCCAGATGTTCTATCTCTTTTTTTAAATTACCTACCAAATTGTCAAAGATTCCAATGTTACTGGTTGACAAGAACGTAGGGAAGTGGCATTTACCTACTGTGTGGTGGATTCATGAATGAACACAACCTCTGTGGAAGATAATTTGTTTATACCTATAATAAAAATTAAAGTGTACATTCCCTTGACCCAGCTTTTATACTTCTAGAAATGTATACCTCAAATAGACTCACACGTATGCAAATTGATAGATGTCTTAAATTGCTTATATCAGCATTGTTTTGTTTCAGTGGGAGAGCAAAAAATTGGAAACAACCTAAATATCCATCAGTAGGGAACTAGTTTCAATAAATACAGTATGTTAATACCAGCAGTGATCCTCTCAAGATATATTATTTTACAACAAAATTTAGGTGTAAAGCAGTGTAAATGATATGCTACCATTTTTTAGTGTTAAATACATAATATAAAATGCAGCATTTTAACCATTTGTAAGTGTACAATTCAGTGACACTAAGTCTCTTGACAATGTTGTGCAACCATCACCACTACTCATTTCTAGAATTTTTTATCTTCCAAATAGAAACTCTGTGCCCAACAAGCAGTAACTACCCATTTCTCCCCTGGTGATATCTGTCCTGCTTTCTGTCTCTGTGAATTTTGCCTCTTCTAGGTAACTCATATAAGTGAAATCGTGATATTTGTCCTTTTGTGTCTAGCTTATTTCACTTTAGCATAATCTCAAGGTTCATCCAGGGTGTAGCATGTATCAGAATTTTATTCCCTTTTAAAGCTGAGTAATATTCCATTATATGTATATATAACATTTTGTTTATTCAGTCATCTGTTGATGGCCATTTGGGTGGTTTCTGCCTTTTGACTGTTGTGAATAATGCTGCTATGAACATTGGTGCACAAGTGTCTAATTGAGTTCCTATTTTCAGTTCTTTTGGTTATTTACCTAGAGGTAGAATTGCTGGATTATATAGCAATCTGTTTAACTTTTTGAGAAACTGCCAAGCTGTTTTCCATAGCAGTTACAGTATTTTACATTCCCACCAGCAATGTATAAAGGTTCCAATTTCTCCACATCCTTGTCCACACTTGTTATTTTCTGGTTTATTTTTTTAATATGATAGCCATCCTATTGGGTGTGAACTGGTATCTCATTGTGGTTTCAGTTTGCATTTCCCTGACAGTTAATGATGTTTAGCATTTTTTCATGTGCTTCTTGTCCCTTTGTATGTCTTCTTTGGGGAAATGTCTATTCAGATCCTTTGCTTGTTTTATAATTGGGTTGTCTGGTTATTGTTGAGCTATTGGAGTTCTTTTTATGTTCTGGATACCAGACTTTTACCACAGATACGATTTACACATATTTCTTCTATGGGTTGCCGATTCACTTTCTTGAGAGTGGGCTTTGAAGCACAAAAGTTTTTCATTTTGGTGAAGTCCAGTTTATTTTATTTGAGTGCTTGTGATTTTGATGTCACATCTATGAAACCATTGGTCAATAGAAGGTCATAAAGATTTATACCTATGTTTTCTTCTAAGGGTTTTATAGTTAACAGCTCTTACGTTTGGGTCTTTGATCCATTTTGAGTTGCATTTTGTATACGGTGTGAGGTAGGATTCCAACTCCATTCTTTTGCATGTGGAAATTCACTTGTCCCAGCACTATCTGTTAGAGACTTTTTCCCCCATCAAATTGTCTTGACACCCTTGTCAAAAATCCATTGCTTGTAAAAACCCAATTGTGTGGATTCTTATCTAGACTTTTAATTGTTGATTTGCACACCTTATCCTTATGCTTGTGTATACCTTTTAAATCTGACTTTTGAATCATGTGAATGTATTCATTCAAAAATAATAAAAATTTAAAATAATTGTTAGCTATGGCCACAATTTACTCCTTTAATTTCCCTCCAATTTGTCTTTCAGGAAAGTGCGCTGTGTTGTCATTCAAGGACTTCCTCTCCTGCAGACCAACTGAAATACCAGAAAATGATATTCTGCTTTGTGAGAGCCGCTACAACGAGAGTGACAAACAGATGAAGAAATTCAAGGGACTGAAGAGGTTTTCACTCTCTGCTAAAGTGGTAGATGATGAGATTTATTACTTCAGGTAAAATTTGAAAAACAGAGGCGGAAAGAGCACTTCAGCTCTTAAAAGGAAAACTGATATCAAAATAGTGTAGACCATGGTGGTTTTTTGTTTTTATTAAGTCTTAAACTAGAGCAGTATACATTTCAAATAGAAAATATTAATTCAGCTAAAAATTAAAGGAAAATCTTCATAATCTGCTGAGATGTGGTAACTGCCTTTGACGTAGACTCCAGTAATTGTAATATGGAGGCAAAATTCCTTAGTTCTGGATTATAGCCTATTAAAAGATTGCCTAGTTTTCCACAGTACGAAAATTCTTTTCACTGTATTATTTGGGAACTAGATCCCAACTTTGGACCCAGTACTTTTGTGGGTATTCAGCACCACCCTTTAAAAACAAACATCCATAAGTACGTGTAACTTTATAAATATACATTTAAGTTCTTTCCTTTGCTGATTTAGAGTATACATTGCAGATTGCAGGAAGTCTTTTTTTTATTTATTTATTTATTTACCTATTTGAGAGAGAATGAGGGGAGGAGCAGAAGGAGAGGGACAAGCAGACGGTGCACTGAGCTCAAAGCCCAACACAGGGCTCAATCCCATGACCCCAAGATCATAACCTGAGCCAAAACCAAGAGTTGGACGCTTAACCGACTGGGCCACGCAGGTGACCCAGGAAGTCTTTTCTAAATATTAAGGCAGAGCATTGCTTTCTGATCAATCCTGGAGTGGTGTTTGGTGATTTTATTTATTTATTTATTTATTTATTTACTCATTCATTCACTCACTTCTTTCAGAAAACCAATCGTTCCTCAGAAAGAGCCCTCACCTTTGTTGGAAAAGAAGATCCAGTTGCTAGAAGCAAAATTTGCTGAGTTAGAAGGTGGAGATGATGATATTGAAGAGATGGGAGAAGAGGATAGTGAGGTCATTGAGCCTCCTTCTCTACCTCAACTTCAGACCCCCCTGGCCAGTGAGCTGGATCTCATGCCCTACACACCCCCACAGGTGACAGTGACAAGTTCCTGGTACTTGTCTTACTCTCAGCTTTGGTTCGTAGCCCACTCAAGTGAAGGGAAGGAGACATCCAGCCCCCGCATATGTGAGCTTCAGCCTGGAATTCTGCACAAAGAAGCAGATTTTTTTTTCTTTCTTGATGCCACTAAGCATTTTAAATTTCGTGTCTTTTTAAAATGTGCATAGATAACTTTTTAATGGCACATTTGGTTAGAAAGCTCTCCCTGCCTTATGTTAAAGGAGAGCAATGAGGAGTGGCATCACCCTGTTACTGTAGCTTTTATGGTCCATATCTTTCCCGTCTCTCCTCCTATAAACCCTCATCTCGGTGGAGGTGATCTCTGTTGGTATTTTTTTCTCATTCAGAATTTTCCCGAGACATAATTGTGAGGTCACCATTACAGATTATAGTCATGGAATTCAGTGAAACTTTCATTTATTTCTTATATGGTAAGCAGCAAGGAAGAACTCTTTTGACCAAGGAGATGGCCAGCTATAAATTAAACGTGTCTGCAAAACAGTAACTATTGAATCACATGTTCCTGGCTTCCAGAAACCTTGAGCAGTTAACCAGATGCAATGTCTGATGCGCTATAAGAGCTTTCTGTCTTACAGTCTACCCCAAAGTCAGCCAAAGGCAGTGCAAAGAAGGAAGGCTCCAAACGGAAAATCAACATGAGTGGCTACATCCTGTTCAGCAGTGAGATGAGAGCTGTGATTAAGGCCCAGCATCCAGACTACTCTTTTGGGGAGCTCAGCCGACTGGTGGGGACAGAATGGAGAAACCTTGAGACAGCCAAGAAAGCAGAATATGAAGGTAAATAGAGACTAGGCGCAACTGTCTCAGCTTTCTAAGCAAGGGGGTGTTTTCAGGAATGCACGTGCGTAGACAGGTTTTACTCTCTTGTTCTTACCACTTGCACATGAACTTTGTGTTGGGGACTGTCTCAGAGGCTCCCATCTAGCAGTTTAAATGCCAGCCTTGTCCTGACTGAGCAAGCAGTGCCCCTGACTTGGCCTTTGATCCTGGTGGGGTGGTTTTGTTTTGTTTTTTCTTTTTCCCGAAAAATTTCTCCAAAATTTTGCTATTAAAAATTGCATGGTTTCTTCTTTCATTGAGTCCTGTAAGCACACATGTGTTGAGCTGGGGAATGATTGTACAAGGATGTTAAATTAGAATTTTGGTTAAAATTCATCTGAAAGGGGGCTTTCAAAATCAGGATCGATTGTGGCTCTTGATAAGCCACATGTTTAAGCTCCAGGCTGAGGCTTGGCTGAAAGCGCTTCTTTTCCTAGGCCAGTCCTGGCCTGTGCTATGTCTGCATTCATAGCTACTTTTAAGGCACTTGAAGTCTCTCATAAAGCTCAATCGCCTTCATTTTCCTTTTACTCTATAATTAAATCGTTTTGGGCCATGAACTATCATTTAAAGATTTGGTGGTTCTTAGCCTTTAGGGACAAGTACTTGAGAGAGATTTTGGGTTTTTTTGTTTTGTTTTGTTTTGTTTTTAATGTCAGGCATACCTGTAATAAAGAAATGAATAATGAACATTAGCTTAGGCAGGACTCTTGCCTTTGAAGCTATATTTTTCCATTTGGAATTGTATATAATGGTTCATTTTGCCAGTTTAGAACTGTCTCTCAGTGGTTCACCACTGTGGTCAACCATTACTCATCTTGGCCGGGTCTAAATCCATTATTTTCCAGTAAACATAAAGAAATTCATTATTAAGGCTGCCTCCTTTATTGAAGTTTATGGTGTTTCCAAAGAAATTTAAAAAAAAAAAAGATTTTACTCCTTTCATTTATACTTGATTGATAATTATAAAATTAACTGATAGACTTCCCCAAAGATTTTCTGCAGAATCCTAATCCTACAAGATGTTCAGCCAGAAAAACCTGTGTGGCAAAACCAGTTTGAGAAGTACTCTAGACACTTTGACTCTTGGAAACTTACAGTGCATATTCCCATATTAAAGTCTTTAAGACCTACAGTAAACACCTGTTTTTTTTCAACTGGCATTTTCTGGAACTTGACCAAGTATTCATATAATACCTTTTCATATCGTAAAGAACAAATAATTTTCAGAACACTCTTTAAGAAACTCTAGTCAGTTCCATAAGAACCTCAAACTTTGGGGGAAAAAAAAAAACCTTGAAATTTGTAGAGCTTTGATATTTCTGACCTTAATGAAAGTTAAGACCAAATATATCCCTCCATTGGAGGAGGATTGGAAATAAAGCTCACATGGGTGTAAAGCCCAGTCTAGAGCAAATGAAGCCCAGACTGTGGCTGGTTTTTTAGAATGTGAACAAGAAAGACAAATGTGTCTGGATGTAGTATGAAAGTAAAAACCCTGAAGCAGGGCTGAAGAGAGGGAGAAGTGATGGCTTCTAGGGAAGTCTCCCAAATTCCAAGGAAAGTGTGAAATTCAGGGAAAATTGAGTGAGATGAGTTGTGTATGACTCAGCAGTGTCTGCCTTTTGTTGTTTTGACCAAAACCCAATTTGGGTTTGAATTCAAAACCCAAAGTTTGGAGTTTGGCTGGCTTCATTTAACAATTCTCTATTCCAGCACAGCCCGTTGGGCTCTTCCCGGAAAGAGCCAACACATAGCCAGTCCAATATCTGATGCACAGATCTGAATTTTTCTTTTTTCAACTTTTTTTTTTTTTTTTTTTGCTCTCCCATTTTACTGTCATTTGTGTAATGAAAATACTAGAATTTAACGTGGGGGTCTAGGTCATTCAGTGTTTTTTTTTTTACTGCTAGCAAAAGGAAATGGGTTGTTCAAATGGCCTTTATCCCTCACACTCATTGTACAGAGAATCTGTAAACTGGGACAGTGTTAGTGAGTGATGACTAGCCTATCTAGGCAATTCTGTCGCAGCCTAGGAAGCTTTGACTTGCTTGACTTTCACATTCTTATACACTAACGGAGGACTGGAGCTGTTGCTTCTTGATTCTCTTTAAAGCCATGGGATCTCGAGCTATTTTCCACTCCTTAGATCAGCCAACAGTAGTCTTTTGAATTCCATGTTGGAGCGTTAATGTGTGGCAGTGGAATGTGCTGTCATGAGTCAGGGCCACATGTTGCTGGTTCTCTCTGTAGCCTTGGACAAGTCACTACCTGTCTCCCAGCCTCAGTTTGCCCCTGTGAGGAGTGAGGAGGCTTTCCTATTTATGAATCGTGAAGCAAAATAAGCCCTGTATTGTGGGAGTTTGGGGAATACACATTTCTAGAGTTTTCTAGTAAGGGTCCAGGCTGCTAGCTCCCAAAAAGACTGGGAATGTGATCATTGGGGACTACTGGCTATGGAGGTGCAGGACAGGGCAGCTCAGCGGAGTAAGGGCTGTAGCAAGGCGTGTTCCACAGCCCAGAACTGGCACAAGCAAATGCTCCTCTTGCATTTTGGATGAAATAAGAGTGAATCCTTGGAACTTTTGCTGATTTAGGATGATTTATGATCAGTATTGAACTGCTCAGCTTCAGGAAACCTGGTTCTCTCAGTACATATCCATTGCTTCATATGTGTATACATATTCCCTGCTTTGAATGACTGTAGCCTAGAGTATCATACATTTTTTTTCCATTGGGGTTTATTAAACATGACCTCTTGGCTTCATTAGGGTATAGGAAGTAGTGTTTATTTTCCCTAAAACCTTGTGGAGGAAGCAGTAAGCTACTTTTCCCTTACAGAGTTAATTTTCTTCAGCTGCTAAACCCCATGACACTTATGACAGGAGTCCTCAAATCATAGTAAAATTGGGTGCAAGAAATCAGGAAAGTAGTGTAAGTAACAATTGTGCCAAAAATTATAATGGGCCATGGAATTGCTTCATGTTGAAATTATAAATAATTTGTAATGCTATTAATACTAGAATAATGGTAGTGCTTCTCATCTTCAGGGTGCCTTGTGAGATTAACCACGTTGGTTACGCTGGTGACGTGTTTAAATAAAACCTGTGCTTTCTGAATGTGTGTTGCAGTCTTAACATTCTTGAAATCTTTGCAGACCAGTTCTCAAGATGGGATAGGAAAGCTGGACTCTAGGTTACCAAGTGAAATCGGCCCGACTCCTCCTGTGTTGAGACTAGTCATCTACCGTTCCTTCCGTTGAGACAGAACTGTTGCCTGTGTTTTTACTAGTCCTGTTGAATGCAATGGATGGTATTTTGAATTCCTGGGTTAAAAACAGAATTGAAAATCTGAAATGCCTTTACAGAGCGGGCAGCTAAAGTTGCTGAGCAGCAGGAGAGAGAGCGCGCAGCACAGCAACAGCAGCCGAGTGCTTCTCCCCGAGCAGGCACCCCTGTGGGGGCTCTCATGGGGGTGGTGCCACCACCAACACCAATGGGGATGCTCAATCAGCAGTTGACACCTGTTGCAGGTAAAAACAGGAGCTAAGACCATTTTTTTCCACTTTAAGAAATTCCTTCATTTTTTTTTTTCTCCAATGAGGAGTAGGCCACAGTCTCTAGGCTTTTCTCATGGCAGAGTCAAAGTTTGAAGTCGTCCATGTCGTCCTTATATCGCCTCTCCCATATGGGCAATGCCTCCCCTCTGCCCCAGAAATGGGCCCTGGGCCCAACCCTGGGAATTGGTAGGGAGCAGCTCTAGCCTGGCTGTGGACATGGTCTGGCGATATTCTCCACCCCAGACTGCTCTTGATGTAGAGCGCTATAGCAGAACACATAAACAGACCCTGAATTCTGTTCTGGAGGGACTCCCGAGAGAAAACACAAAACTAGCGTTCAGGTGATGTCGATTCTCCCGTCTCATTCCAGTATTCAGTTTGCCTTGTTCTGCTGCAGCCATCCTTAAAAGACTGACCATTTAAAAGGATTTTTGACAATGAATTGTAAATCCTTTCTTGGTCACTAATGTGCATGACTGCTAAGTGGAATACAAAGTCCTTATTCAATTCATTGTGCCCACTCTGTAATGCTTTTCTATTTAATTACATTAAACTGCATTTTCTGTTAGTATCCCAGTCACATATTTTTAAAAAAAGACAAGAAAATGATGAATGTGGTTTGCTTGTGTGTGTTGTCTCTGGTTCTGGTGGCCATAGCAAATCTGGCTATTCTTGAATTGAATATCCTTGTCTGACCTGTCTCCAGTGAGAAGCCTGAAGACCACTTCTCGGGTCCCTCCTTCGTGATCTCCCTAGGCCTGGTGAGGTCCATACAAACCACCTGAGTGTCTTCTTAAGCAAGCGGTCTGACCTCTTTTCGCAGGGAGTCCAAGACAGTGTTGTTCAAGGCAGGCTCATTGGGATGCTGTTTTTGTTTTTGCTTTTTTTGTATTTGCTTTTTAAGGAAGAGTAGCATAGGATAACTTTTCCATTGTCGCTCCTACCTTTTGTGATGGCAAGTTCTCAAATGCACTGTCGCTGAACTCAGCAGTTGCACTCGCCAGAGCACATCTGAATCATGGCTTTTCAGTACTTTCAGTGTAACTGACGTTGATCTAACAAATCTCATAATCGCCTGCTCTATTCCATGGCCCATTTTGGTTAACGGGGTTCCAGAGGGTTTTAGAAATCAGGCCTTGAACATGGGGACTTTGAAAGTTAGAATTCCCTCGTTGACGTCCTGTTTTGTTCTGTTTGATATGTGATATTGTAGCACTGTGCCCTAGACTAAAAAGCCCGGGGACACATTAACAAAATGAATTCAAACAGCTAAAAACATTAAAACACAGCAGCTGCAGCATTTTAGCTCCCTGTTGGGGAATAACATCACAGCGCTCTCATGGGTGAGGAGGTGGGACCCCTTCTAGAAAGACCCTGCTCCATTATTAAGCATATGCTGCCCAGATTCCAAAGGGCCATGGGAGTGAAGGGCAAGCAAGTATTCTCTACAGGCACCAGTCTTTGGTCCACAGCGGGAACTTTGCAGCTGAGAGGGTGATTTTTCATGGGTTTACAGATTGCTTAGGGCCTAAGTCTTAGCCTTGTTGCTGTCTGAGACCAGCTTTGCTTACAAGCATTAAAGCTCATTTGAACACATGTGACTGGGATAATAAGTGCCAAAGTACAGTTTAATGAAGACAAGTGTCATGTCTTTCAGTTCTTAATAATTTCTTCAACCACAGCCCGTGAAGGCTGCGTTCAGATGGGCTTTTGTAATTGAAAGCAAAGCCTCCTAACTTTCTTAAAACTCCCACCTACTTATCCCTAAAGCTGATCTGATGGTGTGGTTAAAAGGCAGTTTGGTAGCTTTGGATCTCCTATGTTTAAGATGACAGTGTCTGTACAAAAGTAGTTTTTTTACTCTCTGAACTCTCATTTTTAAAAAATGAAACTCAATCCTGTTTCATGTATAGAGGTATTATTATTTAAAATTCGCTTTACTGGTTTGTGTAAGTTTTTCAGTCAGCTTAGATATGACTAATGAAGCAGGCTGAATCAATCTCACAATTTTCAGTAATTTTATAGCTTCAAAAGACTAAACAATCTTTTATAAACAAGTACCTTTCAAATAATCCTTGAGGGAAAGTCAAAGAGTAAAATCCTTAGAATCTGGAGTTTCCACTGTTTCCCAGGGTCTCTCTACAAAGAGTATTTTATAAAAATGAGCTTTGGCACCAGTCCCTCAAGCCTCCCTTTGTGCAAGAAGCTGTGACCAAAGATGATTGCATTTTTGGGGGGAGTCTTATGTTCTGTTTATTGTGATCATTTCAAATCCCAGAAGAGTCAAGTTGTTTTTCTTGCTTAAAAAAAATGTCGTGTGGCTTTAAAGGTCTTTTGATAGGTGAGTTTTTGACATTTTGAAATTATTTTCTTCCTTTCACTCCTTTTGCCAAAAATACTTGTTTCTTGAAACTCTTCCCTAGCCAGCAGAAAATATTTTGTGTTGTGAAGATGCACTTTGAAAATAAAGGAATAAAAGCCTCTGTTCACAGAAATTCTGTACCTCATTTAAAATGTTCCCTATTAACCGAAGGTCTATGTGAGGGCTTTTGTGAACTCGGAGACAGAAGTGACAATTGCATTTTCTCATGCCAGCAGAGCCTGATTCTCCAGCCATTCCTTCTGAGGTCTGCGTGCCCGCTACCAAGTGACCTGGGCTTAGTTTGGCTTGGGAGGGTTTAGGTTTTATCTTTATTTTACATGTTTTCTGAGATCTAAAGATGAAACATCATCCATTGTGATGGCTCTTCTCTGTTCCCCAGCTCAAGCCCGAGCATGATCCATTTATACCAGTAGTGGTGGGGCTAGAAGGGAGGAGGAAGCCTTGAAAAACTCTCAACCCCCCTGCCCCACCCCCAGCTGGAGAACCATGCTTTGTGATCAGGGCTGTGCGCCTCATTTCCCTCCATTCCAATTTCCCCTCATGTGTACCCATGATAGGCATATGAGTGTGGGCAGAGTGGAGTGATGGGGTTTCTACTGATCAATTAGAACCGCAGTCGCAGAACTGGTCACTCTGTTTGAACAGCTTGCAATAATCATGACCTTGGGAAGGCTGTTACTGGAACTCCTCTTTATTATTATTTAACTGAAAACATGCAGCGTATTTATCCCAGGGAAAATAACTACAAATAATAATATACTAAGTACTAATTCATCCACAGATGTTGGATTGCATATTTGTAACTTTTTATTTTGTTCATTATTGCAACAAAATAATTGCACTAATTGCCGTTATATCATGCAGTACTAAGGGCGCTTTATTCATTGGTAGTGCATGTGGGGGGATTTGTTATTACTTAGCTCATGTTGCATGTTAATGATGCATGTCTGAAATTTGTTGTGTCCTTCAAGGCATGATGGGTGGCTATCCGCCAGGCCTTCCACCTTTGCAGGGCCCAGTTGATGGCCTTGTTAGCATGGGCAGCATGCAGCCACTTCACCCTGGGGGGCCTCCACCCCACCATCTTCCGCCAGGTGTGCCCGGCCTCCCGGGCATCCCACCACCGGGTAAGAACTTCATCCTCGTTCACTCATTAATCTCACCTTCATATTCTCTTTTTTCCTCCCTCAGCCAGTTGGTCCAGCAGGTACCTGCTGCCCACTATGGGCAGGCCTGTCCTCACTGAGAATCCCAGGGCTGTCAGCAGCAGGGCCTGTCCTGTGTATTGAGCAGGCAGCTCAGCACCTGTGTCCCTGGGCACCTGACTGCCTAGTGGCAGCACAGGACACATGGCAGAGACCAGACTCAGCAGACCATGGGGTAGAAGGCCTACTCGCACACCACTCAGACAATTTGACATGTGCTCAGAAAGCCAAATACAGCCTAGAAGGTCATGCCCTCTTTATTAGTGAATGAAGTTTCCCAAATTGCTAGTTCCGAGTCACATATAAAAGCACCTTTGGTCCTGAGTGCACTTCTTCCTCTAGTTCAGTTCTCATTGAAAGATTGTCTTCTTATAGAATCCTTGCTTCATCTCCTGTTTCTCAAACAGCCCTTCTAAGGGGATTGCAGAGTCACTGATGATGAAGAAATCCTTCAGTCAATCATTCTAGGAACAAAAAGGAGGGAGGGAACAGATTTGCAATGAACACATTTTCTGTATGTGAGTCCCCTAAGAAGTATGACATAACATTTTAAAGAGCAGCATAGCCCCACCCTACTGACTGTGGACACTGATTTCTCTCTCAACAGAAGCTCAGAATTTGTTTCATGTGGAAATACATAAATGGAGTTCAGGAAGAGCTAGAGGTTTACTTTATAATTAGTAGTTGAAATACTGTGAAAGGAAAATCACAGGCTCCCGTATTAATTGCCATCATATGTAAAAGAAATGGGCTTTAGCTATAATCTGGTTGGAGGGAATGTGACCTGAAGATAACTTAGACTAGCATTTGGTCATTATCCAGAATATCAGCTAAGGGCCTGGCCCAGATGACAAATGTAGAGATGTTAGATTTGCTTACACCAGTAGTGGGTTATATGGAGTTCCCCCAATAGTCCCTCAGAGGTACACCCAGTCCAGCAGTGTGCAGGGTAAGTGAGCCTGGGGGCTTGGTCTAGACCCTCCAGCCACACTCCTGTGAGTGTTGCTTAGAGAATGGCCAGAACTCCACGCACACATGTGTGATCCAGATGTACCCAGAGGAGGAAATGTTTATGGGAGTGGGTGCTTCATTATGGAAACAGTGGCCTGTGTGTGAGTTGTAGCGCCAGTCAGTCATAAAATGGGTGTGCCCGTGTGGCAGGTAGAATTGGCCTTCATTCTGTGCCCTCTCACCCTGGCATAGGGTATCTGACTGACTCAGACCAGGTTGGAGTTGACTTCTAGGTGTATGTGGTGCTCACTGGGAGCCACGTCTAAGGCCAGTACCCTTTAAGTAGCAGATACCTTTTGGTGGGTATCGGGCATACCGTGTCCCTTTCCCCATCTTCGGGTTCTAAATTGCAATTGAAGGAGACACACACACACACACACACACACACACACACACACACACACACACACTTGATTTTAGGGAGACAAGGAGGAACCCCTCAGGAGACACACACACACACACACACACACACACACACACACACACACACACACACTTGATTTTAGGGAGACAAGGAGGAACCCCTCTTAGTGCCCACACGTGTACGCATGTGTGTGCACACACACACACAAACAGGCACCTGTCGGTTTAGGCTTTGAGGAGAGGACTCAGGGAACTCTGGTGACTCAGTCCACATTCTCACTGACTTCCCCCTTGCATGGCATCTGTAAACAGGAAGCAGGGACATGCGCTCACACAAGCACAAACATGCACACGCACGCACACACATCTGCTCAGGCTTTGAGGAGAGGAGGACTCGGGGATCTCCTCTGGTGACCAGCCCACATTCTCACTGGCTGCCCCCTTGCATGGCACTTGTAGACAGGAAGCAGAGGGAATTGCTGAGTTGTTTGTGCCCTGCAAAATTTGAGAAAGGCAGTTCAGGGAGGCCCCCTGAGTTGTGGGGTCTGAGGAGGGTGAGTGTCCTGGAGAGGGGGGGTTCACAGGGGTTGTTAATATGTTGCTGTAGCAGCAGCTTACCCACCACAACCTCTTAAACCAGTCACAAGTAATCGTGAGGATCCTGCTATGGTGATCCAAGTAAACTTCTGGGTACTTACAAAAATCCCTGCTTTGTAAACAGAAAGCTTATTTTTACTTATTACTTCTTCTCTAACAAATATCTAATACTTCCCAGAAGTGGCCTTTAGCAATTCTGAATCTTAGAATAGTGGACTGATTCTGCCCGGCCAAAATAGCAACATTTTGAATCCAGAGAAACTAGTATATGAGGTGAGCTCCTTTTGATCCTTCTTGGCAGCCAGCAGGACTTGTGTAAAGTTTAAACAGCAGCTCACCAGGGTTTTGACTATAGCTTAGTAGTTTTTAACCAACTGGGACCCTTGTTTATTTCAGCATCTGTTCAGTGAATGGATGGTCCTGAGATTGCAACAGCCCCAGACACTAAATTTAGGACATCTCACCATTATCAGCTAGTACCTATGGGACAGAAATTGCTTGTGAGGAATCATCAAGGGAAGTTTACAAAATTATTAGCAGGTACAGAGTACAGATACAGTAGGACCATGAAACGTCTTTGTCATTTTTGCACCTGAAGTGATAGCAGCGAGGCTGACCTGCTTCCAGATGATCCTTTTCACAGTACCACTCTACCAGATGGAAGTGCCCTGCCTGCCAGCATTAGTGACTCCCGTTAGAAGCAGAGGTGCTGGGAGCCTGTGAGAGGGCAGCAGGGATGTGTCTCCAGTCTCCACGGGCCTCATTGCACAGCCTCTTCCCTTGTGTCCCTGGTGTCCTCGTTCACTGCCTGCTGCTGAGCCCGACTGCAGTACCATTACTGCCAGAATGAGACCTGGGCTTCAGTGGCAGGAAAATGTGTTGTCAGAAGAAAAATACTTTGAAAATAGAAACGTAGTCCGACTATAGCTGACCTAGGGGAATACTAGAGTTTTATGCAGGGTTCAGAGCATTTCTAAGCCATGAATAATTAATGCACATCTGACAGATTATACTGGCATTATACTTAAAATACTAGAAAACAACAGAATGTGAGTTTTCCATGTGAATGCTGCATCCCATTTTGGGTGCGTAGGGTTCCTATCCACAAAAACTCAAGGACAGAGATCCATACGTTTGCATTATAAATGGCATCGTTTCTTATCAGTAGTTTTTCAGTAGTCCTCTCAACCCAGAGCCTCTAACTGTGCCATTGCATTCTGAATTATAGGTGTGATGAATCAAGGAGTGGCCCCTATGGTGGGGACTCCAGCACAAGGCGGAAGTCCGTACGGACAGCAGGTAAGCCTCTCAGTTGGATTTTCTAGGACTCGACAGAATTCAAGTTACGCTCTTTCTCAGAGCACGTGCCAAGTGTTTTTTTTTCCTCACCATGTGCTCTGTGCTCTCTCAGGTAGGAGTTTTGGGGCCTCCAGGGCAGCAGGCACCACCTCCGTATCCTGGCCCACATCCAGCTGGCCCCCCTGTCATACAGCAGCCAACAACGCCTATGTTTGTGGCTCCCCCACCGAAGACACAACGGCTTCTCCACTCAGAGGCCTACCTGAAATACATTGAAGGACTCAGTGCTGAGTCCAACAGCATTAGCAAGTGGGACCAAACTCTGGCAGGTAAGGAGTCCTTCTCAACAAGGCTTTGTGAAATCTCACTGCTATTGGCATTATACTGTGGGATAGATACCCACTTTTCTCAGAGAGGTAAAATAAATTCTGTATTTAATAGAAGGGTTTGAAGCTTTTTTGTATATTGACATCACACACTGAAAGTGGTGGTGTTTTTGTTGAATTTCTAAGTTTTGTCGTAAACATCACTGCTATCTTTTAAGTATATTCTGAATTTTTTTCAGTTCTTTTTTAGGCATTTGGGCATTAATATAGATGCATTTGGGTAAATTAAAAATTCCTTCAGTTCAGGGGCACCTGGGTGGCTCAGCCGGTTAAGCGTCTGCCTTCAGCTCAGGTCATGATCCCAGGGTCCTAGGATAGAGCCCCACATCGGGCTCCCTGCTCAGCGGAGAGTCTGCTTCTCCCTCTCCCTCTGCCTGCCGCGCCCCCTGCTTGTGCTCTCTCTCTCTTTCTCTCTCTGTCAAATAAATAAAATCTTAAAAAAAAATTCAACTTTTAAAAAAGAAAAAAATATTGGAAAACGTGTTTCAGTTAACCTGTTGAGTTACTTATTTAGTTCAGTGGTCTTAATGTGTTTTCAGTACATACTAAAATAACTTGGCTGGGGGCTCTGGGTGGCTCAGTTGGTTAAGTGTCTGACTCTTAATTTCAGCTCAGGTCATGATCTCCAGGTCGTGAGATCAAACCCCAAGTCAGGCTTCATGCTGGGTGATGCACCTAGCACTTTAAGATTCTTTCTCCCTCTGCCCCTCCTCCCTATAAAATTAAATTAAATTAAATTAAAATAAAATAACTTGGCTGGTTTCTGGAAAGAAAGGTACAAGTTCCTACTCATCATTCTTCATTTCTTCTTCTTTTGTTTTTTTTTCCTTTTAGATTTTATTATTTATTTATTTAAAGAGTGCCAGAGTGCAGGAGCAGGGGGAGGGGCAGAGGGAGAGGGAGAAAATCTCAAGCAGACTCCAAGCTGAGTGCTCACAACCACCCATGAGATCATGACCTGAGCTAAAAATCAAGTGTTGGATGCTTAACCAACTGAGCCATCCAGGTGCCTCTCTTTCTTCATTTCTAAACCAAATTTGATCATTTGATTTCTTTCAGAATAATAGGTATGCTTTCCCTTTCCTCACATTTTCCTTTTTAGCAACCTTTGTTAACACTGAAAAAATTAGTAATTTTCTTTAAAGATTTATTTATTTATTTGAGAGAGAGAGCAGTGGGGAGGGGCAGAGGGAGAGCGAGAGAGAGCCTTAAGCAGACTCCACACTGAGCTTGGAGCCCAGCGTGGGGCTGGATTCCGTGATCCTGCGACCATGACTTGGGTTGAAACCAAGAGTTGGATGATTAAACCGACTGCACCACCCAGGCGCCCCTGAAGAAATTATTAATCATCAGGACTGCCTGCAACACAGTATTAGTGATCAGATCTTTAGGTGTTTGTGCAACTCTTATGTTCCCATTCATAGAGAATTATGTTATATTGTGTAGCTCTTTTGTTAAGTCATTATTATAAATTAGAAAATTTCTGGGGTGCCTGGGTGGCTCAGTCGTTAAGCGTCTGCCTTCGACTCAGGTCATGATCCCAGGGTCCTGAGATCGAGCCCCACATCAGGCTCCCTGCTCAGCAGGAAGCCTGCTTCTCCCTCTCCCACTCCCCCTGCTTGTGTTCCCTCTCTCACTGTGTCTCTGTCAAATAAATAAATAAAATCTTTAAAAAAAAAAAAAAGTTTCTAAAATACAAAGCATAAAACAAGACATCCTTAGCTAGGTAGCCTCATACCTAAGTGCATAGTTTTTTTAAAAACAAAGATGCCTAATAAAATGATAAAAGACATTTGCCTAGAAATACTCTGCAGAGATAAAATTCATAATACTTAATAAGTAATAAATGTTATATGCTAGTCAACCTTAGGTCTGAGGGGGAAATTGTTACCTTAAAATTCCTACTTTTATTTCTCGTGTGTGCATTTTAATTTTCAGCTCGAAGACGCGATGTCCATTTGTCAAAGGAACAGGAGAGCCGCCTCCCCTCTCACTGGCTGAAAAGTAAAGGGGCCCACACCACCATGGCAGATGCCCTCTGGCGCCTTCGGGATTTGATGCTCCGAGACACCCTCAACATTCGCCAAGCATACAATCTAGAAAACCTTTAATCACATCAATTACGTTTCTTTTATAGAAGCATAAAGAGTTTTGTGGAACAGTAGCCATTTTAGTTACTGGGGGTGGGGGGAGGAACAAAGGATGGTAATTTTTATTGCATTTTACTGTACATCACAAGGCCATTTTTATATAAGGACACTTTTAATAAGCTATTTCAATTTGTTTTTGTTATATTAAGTTGACTTTATCAAATACACAGAGATTTTTTTGCATATGTTTCCTTCGTTTAAAACCAGTTTCATAATTGGTTGTATATGTAGACTTGGAGTTTTATCTTTTTACTTGTTGCCATGGAACTGAAACCATCAAAGGTTTTGTCTTGGCTTGGGATTTTGGTTTTTGGTTTTTGGTTTTTTTTTTTATAAAAGAACAAACAAAATGAAAAAAATATACACACGCGCGTGCGCACGAGAGTTTACAGATTAGTTTAAGTTGACAATTAAATGTGAAGTTGGTCCTAGTTTACATCTTACAGAGGGGAGTGCACTGGTGTCTGCTTCATGTACCTGAGTATCTTGAGCCACTTCAGCAAAAGCTGTTTTGTACAGGTGAAGTGAAAGGTGGTTATTTTAGGTTACAGGTGTTTGGCAGACCTGGCACATTTGCTCTGTTAACTCAGAGACTTGCTCCAGAAATCTGAAGTCAGTGCTGTGCATCCTTCTGAAGCTGGTGCGTCTCTCAGACACCTGGACGGGGAGAGCACAGTTTCTTGTGCTGTTAGTCATCTATGGTGTCAGGTATTTTTGCAGAACATGTGCACAACCCTGAATTACCTTTAGTCTTGGCAGGTAAGTTTAAGGGTACTTTTGATCTATTTATATTGAATTCACAATTTATGCCTATACTTGGATGATTTAAAATTTTAAATCTCTTACATTGAAAAAGATTGAAGTTCACCTTGAAGAAAGCATTGAGGTGTGTGCATGGAGGTGATTCATTTTTTAAACCTAACACCTAACCTAACATAGGGAAGGGAGTGCATAGCCAGATATGAGCTGTGTCAGAAGCATAATTGTAAAAAGGGTAGATTGTCTACATATGCAAGTATGTTTTCGTATCTATTTCCTCACCAGATGTGGCATTTTTTTCCTTCTCTAAGTTTCAGCGTTGTAATTCTCAACCAGAAATTTAAGGCTTTCTAAAATGTTTTTTAAATTTAATTTGTGCTTTTGAATTTCAGGAGAAAGTAATTATAATCTAAGAAAATACTCACTTAAAAAGACCATTATGGATCCCAAACACTTGGGGTTGACCCTTTCTCTTTCATATGAGCCTCGAATGAACATCTGGAGGCAGCGTATGATGCGCAGACAGGTAGAAAAGCACCACACCTGGATTCCACTCGGTTTTTGAAACCCGTTTTTTTGTAACAAGATTGTTGCCATTTTGGTGGAGCTTCCCTTGCTGTTGTTAAATTGAGAGAGTCACTCTCACGGGATACTTTTTTCTTTTAATCTGGTATGAAGCAATACCTGGATATTTAATTGCCATTCTTTCTAAATCATGGGGACAAAAGTGTGTAAAATGGAAACAAGTCTCTTGTATTCTAGATACTTTAAATACAGGAGGCCCTTGTAACTTAATTGCCTATAGTCAACCACTGGATCTCAGTTTGCATCAAGTATTTTAAATAATTCTGAATTTTAAAAAATGTATTGCAGTAGTATGTCAGTACCTTATTGTTAAACTGAATCAGATAAAGAAATCTTCAGTTCCTAGTTATTTGGGCCATTGAATCATCATGGACTGTATAATACAATCAGATTATTTTATTTCTAGACATTCTTGAATTACACCAAAGAACCTGAAATCTAATTTTGGTTAAGTTATTTATTTATTTCATGCACCCATTTTATTTCCCTTTTTAAGGTCTGGATGAGACTTCTTTGGGAAGCTTCTAAAAACTCTTCACTGTGGGCTAGGTGGGGCATTAGAACCCAGGGCACTCCTCCTCCGGGCTCCTTCCCAGTGTCTAGAGGTGCTGTAGAAACCATAGATCCAGCCAGGGGCTTCCCTAAGGCAGTGCAGAGCCGGGCCAGGGGGCCAGTAGGCAGGCCCTAATTAAGTTTAAAAAAAAAAAAAAATCTATGTATTTATTTTAGAATCATGTCTTTCTGTATATTAACTTGGAGAATGTCAGTTAATATTTAGGATATAAGATTTGAGGTCAGCCATTTTCCAAAAAAGATAAGCCAAAAAAAATTTTTTTTAATGTCCTGACTTAAGAAAGTACAAGTGAACTATATACGTCTTTTTTTTTTCCCCATGAGTTTTAGGAACTAGTGATATGGCTTAGAAAGTTTAATGGCCTAAATGTTTTCAAAATGTAAGTTCATGTGGAAAAGAACTTTATTTGGGGGAAAACCTATAGGTTTAAAATAGTATGTCAGCCAACTGATTTAAAAGGCCTTTGAACTGCTTTGTTTTTGAACCCACCCTTGTCTTCCTATGAGGAAGAACTGAAAGAGGGGACACTTCTTTGTGTGAAATCTCAAACTGGTGTTGTTGGCTTCTGAGCTTGAACATTTTCAGACCTAATTAAAACTTGGTTTATTCTAATTTCTGTATCAAAGGAGGTTTAAGTGGTAACTAGTCTTATAACATGTATGTATCATATGTTTGTTCATTTAAAGCTTTTTAATCCGAATAAAAATGGAGTTTGCAAAGTGATTTGGATTAACCAGGTTTGGTTGTTCTGTTTAAGCTTGTGTCAGATGTTAGGTTCAAGCAGAGTTAATTCCTGCAAGCCTTGATTCTATGCTGACAGGGATATATAGCTGCCAATTTAAGGGAACAAAGCTCCTCGGGTGGAGGCAAAAGTCAGTGAGCAGACCCTGGATCAGGGCTCAGGCTGCATTAGCACCGGCTGAATGCAGTCACACTGCAGCTGGACATGCCCCACGAGGAGCCTCTCAGGCAGGCAGTCAAGGAATTCCTAACATGTCCTCATCGTGGGTGGAAATACGGTTGAAATTAAAATTGTAGAGTTACTGATGGTGGAAGGTAAGGAAAGCATGTCTTGTATCATAAAGCTGTGTAAGCCCTTTCAAACAGCTGTCTGTGGCCAGAGGAGACCAGTGACCCAGGTATGTCTTTAACATGCTTATAAGCTCTTAAAGACATGACCACACTTTTAATAGAAGTGTTGGTAAAATCAACCAACCGTTTTCCTCTAATATCACTTTGCAAATCCCTGTGGCTCTGTACCCCTAAGTGTTTAGGGCTGTACTGCCATCTGTGCTCACGAGCGTATTTGGAATAATCATTGATGAATAGTTAAACATTCCCACTGAACACTGTGAGCAAACAAATACTGCTGAGTGTTACTCTGTTCCTTTTTAGTGTGGAAGTGTGCTAGATCAGCTGAGTGAAAGTTCAGAACTGAACAAATTAATAGACTTCTTCTACCCCCAGAATAGATGTGGCATTGATATCTTGTGGGTTGCACATAAATGTGACAAGAAATTCCAAATTTAATGCACATGTGTAAAGAGTACGAACTGATACTGTACTGCTTTTCTAGGAGAGAATTGCTTTGAAAAACACCATGGCCCAAATGTGGGGTAACTTGGTGTGAAAAATTCAGACTTAAAAAAGGAGAGAGAGATCAATGTGTTTAAGTTATAACAGCTGAGATTTAGGCAAGACTTCCAGAATAGAGGGCAACCCTCTTGGGTCCCCTCCCTCCCCAGGAGCTTTGTACTGTCACTTTGCTGTCACTCAATAAACCATGCTTTGCTGCCAAAAAAAATTAAAAAATAAAAAGACTTCCAGAATAGGACTGTTAGACGGATCAAGATAGTAGCCCTCATTTATTGAGAATTTACTGTGTACCTAAGTAACTTTCCCTGTCAATTCATTTGATAAAGTGAAGCTCCAAAGCCCACATTTTACCCATCACCATAGTGGAAGTAAATTTCAAGCAATAAATGCTAATTCAATTTTTGTCATTCTAGAAGTACGGTTTTTAAAATACATGTTATTAAATGTTTTGCCTTGTAGTTTACACTAGGAGGCACTGCAGTTCTGTAATCAGCATGTAAGAGCATTGCTCTTTACATTATTAAAGTCCCCTTAATAGTTCCTGTGTTTAGTAAGTCAGGTAGAGTCATATTCTGTACTAGGAGGGTTAAAATTTGTTTTGAGGCAAAGTTAAAAAGCTTTCACCTCAGTTAACAAAGGTTAGTTTTTACTCTCTAGCGTCCAAACTAACTAATGTGTTCTGAAAGTATCTTCAATTTAATGCAGTAATTGCTTTGCCAGTCTCCTTGCCTTGAAGTGAGACATTTCTTACCTTCAAAGTTTTGTTGTCCTTCAGTAAATAAGCACTTTGATACATATTTAAAAAAAAGAAGAAGAAAACTCTAAGGAAGGTTAAACATGAATTTGTAGCGGGTGATTCTTTCTGGGGTGCAGACAGGGAGGTGGGCCAGGGAGGGACCCACAGCAGACACAGAAGTTCGCTGACGGTTTTATTAGTATTTACAACTTAACTTTGAAAAAGGTGTGTAAGTTACATAGTCTCTCTATATATCAATACTAAACTAAAACTGGGGTGGGGGAAACATGGAATAAGGCCATATAACTGGGAGAATCCTACCACAATTTAATTCCTTATGCTGCAGTCTAACCACTAAAATGCCTATGAGGTTAGGTTCATCAGGAACTCTCTAGGCACACAGGTGCACAGGAGAACCTCCTTCCTCTCCCTGGTGCTGTGGGTCATCCCTGGTCTTCACACTCAAGCCATCTCTGAGCAGTGTGACTCAGCTGGTGCAGGTAGTGCTTGAAGGAGAGTAGTCAGTGGCTCGTTATTTATACTGAATTGGTTCTAACATCAGTGAACTAACTTAAATTAGAAAAAACCCTAGAAAAACTTGGAACATATGTTTGTGGCAGAGATCTTTTAACTGGAGAATACCCTGTGGCCTTAAGCATCTGCTTCTGTATATTCATGAGCAATTGTTAGGAAGCGTTTTGAAACTAGCCTTCTTTAATACAGAGATATGTTCTTGATTAAATAGATGTTGGATGTAGTTACCAAGCATGGATTAAAAGAAGAAAAAAATGGATAAAGCCTTTGTTTTTTCTATCAGCTTACCCAGACTTACTGTGGGTCAAATTACAAAATCTCTCTGAACCTCTAACTTAGCTGAAGTCTGTGGTTGTTTTATGGTTTTGCTTTTCAGTGTGAAGGTTCATTTTCTTAGGGAAGAAGCAGTGTCTTTATCTTTAGCAGCTGGATGAAAACACATCTTCATCACAGAGGGGTGTGAAGCCTGTCCCCTCTGGAGTTCTCGTGGAAGTCCAGCCCTTGTATGTTAGGGACAGGCAAAGGAAGGGGTTATTTCTGTTCACAAGAGCACCTGACCGGGGTAACGTGTGGTCAGGAATTCCCACCACCCTCGCAAAGTGGTAACAGACTGGTAGCTGGCAGAAATGTAATCTGCATAATTATCCTGGTTTAAATAATCTTGTAATAGAGATCTTACTTTTATGTCCATGATTAAATCTGAATTCTGAGAAAAGGAAATTAAGGTTATCAATTTGTTGCCTGAAACAAAAGACTTCACAAACAATTCAGACTGTACTAAAAAAGCATCCTGCTTGATCCTTGAATTGTTTAAGAAATATTTCATAGAATAGATTCAGTGGGCAGGTGTTTCAGGAGGAAATAGTTTTTCCATAAGTGCTGTCCAACAGTCACTTGGGAAGTATTGAAGCAGACAGGAAAACTATAAAAATTTCTTTGTAAACGCAGTTCTGAATAAGAACAAGAGATCTGAAAAGTACATTTTCAAAGGAGTTGAAACCAGTAGTGAAATTTCATATTCACTTTATTGACGGCTGAAGTTCAGTCTCTGATGCATTTTCCAGCCTTCTCTGATACTGTCGTTCTGAGGCTTTTCTACGGTAGACATCATCTGTGTCAAATAAAAATTTTACTTAGACTTTGAAGAAACAGGAATTAAAGGTACTCAGATCTGACTAATTTAACCAACAGTCTAGGTCTGTCAGCTATTTCTGAATCTCATTTTTAACAACGCCAAAATAAACTTCATTTAAAACAAAACTTGGGGGCGCCTGGGTGGCTCAGTTGGTTAAGCGGCTGCCTTCGGCTCAGGTCATGATCCCAGGGTCCTGGCGGATCGAGTCCCAACATCTGGCTCCTTGCTCGGTGGGGAGCCTGCTTCTCCCTCTGCCTGCCGCTCCCCCTGCTTGTGCTCTCTCTCTCTGACAAATAAAATCTTTAAAAATAACGAGTTAAATGAGGACTATGTTAATGCAGTTCTGGACTTCAATAGCATGGTAAGAATCCGTATCTTCAAAGATAGGATCATGTCCTAGCACACCTCTTAGCAATGTTTTATGACTTTCCTTACTTCCTTCCCTGCCCGCCCCCCCCGCCAATGGCTATTTTCTCTGAAATCATCCTTATCTTGCCCTTAGGCTCTCTGCGGATCCCTCACCCACACCCAGGAACTCAAGAGTGGGGAGGTGAGGTCAGTTGCCTTGGTCTCTGCTGCTGCTTTTCCACACCGCTGATTCTGCACCCTCTTCCTTTGCGGCGTTTGCCATTTGCCACAGTCTTCTCTGCATGGGCACCTGCCCTCTATTCCCCTTCAATCACTGAAAACACTGGCATCTAGCTCAGGCTCCTTGACCTGTCCTGTGCCATCTTCCCAGGCAACATCACCCACCATGTGGGTGAAGCACTAGCCCCCTTCACCTCCTTGACTTCTCCAGTCAACTTCTGCCATCTACTTGCAGTGCTCTCTGAAGTAACAAATTCATCCTGCCCTGACCACAACCTCTACTACCTTTCTAGTCATTCTGTCCTTGGACCTCTGTTAACTTCTTCCCCAGGCACTTGGCCCCTGAATACTGCCTCAGCCCCATCTTGTTCTGTCTTCCTGCTCAAACCAGCTGCAATTCCCTATCAACATCAACTTCTTGACACACCTTCAAAACCCCAACTACAGATTCATCCAACTGCCCTCCTCCATCCCTCACTCTGCTTGCTTTGCAATGTGCGGCCAACTAATGCATTTAACTGGGCCCACTGTGATGCCTAACAATCCTGTTTCCTCAGTCATAACCCTGACCCTTCTTCACTTACCCCCAGATAGCCATGAACTTTGGTCACACAGATCAGTCATCAACAAAGAACTATTCCAGCTAACTTCCAAGGGCTACTCCTATGGCCCTGCTCTGATTCCAGTCTCTCCTACCTTCCAAAGAACCAGTTATCTGCGGCCTCTCTCCACTACCCTTTCCTGACCAGCATCTTTGTATCTTCAAGTCTCTCCTGGTGGGGAGGAGGGCTGACCTCCCATTCTTATAGACTTCCTGGACCTCCCGTCTTCTGTGATAAACCCTCCTGGTTTCCCTCCTTGCCTCTCTGGTCACTCCCAATCACGCTTAAAATGTTGGGATTTGACACTGACTTTTATCACAATCTGCTTTCAAATGACCCACAAACCCAGATCCATGGCCCAGATCTGCCTCCTGAGCTTCAGATCTGTATAGCCATCTCTACCTTAGCATGTCCAAAACAGAGTCCGGACTATCTTGCCAGTGTCCCTGCTGCACCACACCCAAGTGTCCTACCAGAAGCCTCCACTCCTCATCTCCTGAGTCCACTCAATGACCAGGCCCTGTCAGTACCACCTCCCAGGTGTCTCTCAACTCCACTTCTTGGCATCCCATCTGTCCCTACCCAACCAGGCTACCGTCTCAGACCTCAACAACCACACAGCCTAAGTATTCTTGCCTCCTCTCCACAAGAAGCCATTCTCCTCATGTGTTAATCCACTGCCAATTAAAACCCTTCAATCCTTTGGGTACATTCTTGGTTCTCCAGTCCTTCTGTGGCCCTGCCCAGGCACATTTCTAACCACTTCATCCCTCACTCTGCTCACCTGCAGTCCCTCCTACACAGTAAACATTCACACCATGGCCCCATGTCTGCTTTTACCACTAGCATGAGACACTTTCAACTCCACTAACATTCCCCTCATCGGACTGACCTACTCAATCTTCAGTTCCCACCCACTCCTGGATGACTCCCTGTACCATCTGATCCAACTGAGGTACCCCCACCCAAGACTACCATTGCCCCCGCCCACACACACACACACACACACACACACACTTCCCCTCACAGCACTGATCACAATAGTGACTGTCTTTATGTTGGGTCTCTGCCATTAGAGCTCTTCTGGAGTGGGGGACTCTCTGCCTTGTTCATTATATACTCTCCTGGGTGCTCATTAAATACTGATGAATGGATAAACAAAAGGACTAAGTATCTTTGGAAAACACTAATGTAACAATGCTTTTAAAATAAAGGTGGGTGTGGGGGCGCCTGGGTGGCTCAGTCAGTTAAGCATTTTCAGCTCAGGTCATGATCCCGAAGTCCTGGGATCAAGCCCTGCATCGGGTTCCCTGTTCGGTGGGGAGCCTGCTTCTCCCTCTGCTTTTGCCCCTGCTTGTGTTCCCTCTCTCAAATAAATAAATCTTAAAAAAATAAGGGTTGGCGGGCGCCTGGCTGGCTCAGTCAGTGGAGCATGCAACTCTTGATCACAGGGTTGTGGGTTTGAGCCCCATGTTGAGTGTAGAGATTATTTAAAAATAAAGTCTTTTTAAAAGAATTTTTTTTTTAAATAAGGGTTGGCAATTCACAAGTAATACATGTTTCTAGAGAGGGATAAAGCAGAAAGGACCTAGGGGGTGGTAAAGTCTTTCCAGAAGGGGAACTGGCCTTTCCAGAGCTAGTGCTCCACAAAGCAGAGCCAGGCATTCTTTCCCCAGTGCTGGGCCCTGGTGCCAAGGGCTCGGCCCGGCAAAGACAATGGCAATTAGGCCAGGCAGACCGGCTCCTTCCGGGGTCTGGACTGAAGGATCCAGAAGAGGGCTGGCCAATTAGCAGGAGTTTCCATGAATCTTCAGGATCCCACTCCCTTCTAAGGTGCCGTGAGCAAGTCCGTTCCTTAGGACCAAACGTCACCGGCCCGCAAGGACAAGGGGCAGGCTCGCGAGAAGAGCGGCCAGCGTGGAGTCACGTGCTCTCCCCTGAGAGTGCAGGGAAGGCCTCAAGTTTGGACGCCAATGTGCCTTTGTCGCCCCGCTTACAAGAGGGCCCGGGCCGCGAACGGAACCGTACTTGCCCTTCCGACCACGGTAAAGGCAGCTCAGCGCTCTGAGTGGAATGGGCGGTCTGCAACCTAAGACTGTCCCCCAGGAAAACGGGTCCCTAGCCGCCTCCTGCCTTCCTGAAATGAGACGGACGCTGCTGTACCCCCACTTACAGAAGGTCTCCTGGCCCACACGCAGTTTAATCATGATCCACTCCATCGTTCCTCCCAGGACAAAAAAAAAGGGCAGGAACCTGTAGACGCCGAATCGCTGCTTCCCGGGCACCCGCTGCAGGACCCGCTTCACCTGGGCCCTGGAAAACATGCCCGACTCAGGTCGTGGAGAGGGGTACGGCGGCACCGGGAGCGACGGGAGCTGCCCCAGCCCCCGGACTGGAGCGCCCAGCTACAGACGAGTCCGAAGGCCTGGTTGCAGTGCTGCCCCAGCCCCGCTGTAACCAAACCGGTGCTGAACCGAAGGAGCCGAGCGCTGAGCCCCCCACCCAGAACCTGAGCGACTCCACCAATCAGACTGCCGTGGGGCGCGCGGATCCACCAATCCGAATGCGGCGGAGCGCGCGTGCTCCGTGAGGTCGAGCCCAGCCGGAGGGACCTGGCGCAGGCGCCTCGGCTCTGGAGGTGGGGCGGCCCGAGGGGGCGGGGCCGGGTCGACGCCACGTGGGAGGCCCCGCCCCGGCCTCCCCTTTGCAAGCCAGCGCTTGGAGTTGGCGGCGGCACCCCCTACTCTGCCACCGCCATCTTTTTTCTTAAAGTCCTGCTAGGAGTGATGATCCTCTCTGATGGACTAAACGTGTACCACACTTTAAAATGCAATTATGCAATGCTTTGCATTTATTTCGGGGTCATGGCTCATGACTAGAATTCTAAAAATAACAATTTGATATGCATTCTTGAAAGCTGAACTTTATTACAACAAAAGTCCAAGCAATCACCTTGTGACAAACAACCCTGATATTAATAAAAGCTATCCCGTATGGGGCACTTAACGTTATGCAGGGACTTGTACGTCCTTTTTATGCATCACCTCCTTATTCACAATAATCACAGAAGAACAGAGCAGCTCAAGAGCATGGGCTTTGTCAAACCACAAAATGGGGGCCTTTGATGCTGCGAGGATTTAGAGGTAATACAAATAAAGCATTTAACACAATGCTCGGAGCATAATAACTGATCAATTACCATTAGCTAAAATAGGATGATGATGGTGGTGATGGTGATTTATTGGGTGCCGGCTCTTTACATGTATTCTAGAACCTAGGGACACTCCCCTCTATTTACATCATCCCCTTTCATGGATGGGAAACTGAGAAGTTAAGACTGATTGAGCCAGGTAGAAGCACCAGAGCCTTCATTCACTCTCGCTGAGTTCCTGTGCTTGCTGTAAAGGACTGCCACTCATTACCTAAGGCTAAAAGAACAAGGGGGGCCTATCTTTGAGAAAGGAGACAACTATTACACAATCTAGAAACATCAAACGAAAACTTAAAAGTCAATGAAAAAGTTTGGTGATGTGAACACAAAATATACAAAAGTAGGCTAGAGAAGAGAAAGAGAGCAAGCATTGTCCCTGGCAAGGGTCACACAGTCAAGCTGAGAGCAGCAGGCCCAGAGCTGCTTCCTGGATCACCTGCCTTCTCCCGGGGCCTACCCTACCCAGCTCCGTGCACACTGGCTTGGAGCTCACTCCAGTTTCTCTTGGTGGCTCTGGGAGCCTGTCACCGCGGAGTACCCATCTCCCGCCCTGAGGAGGCTTACTTTAGACAGGTCCCCAACGCCCTCCTAGCTCAGTTTTGGGATCCCATGGGCCTACCCTTCCGCCTCTATCCCGCCCCAGCTCCTGGCCCAGGATCTGGCCCACCGTATGTAGGTTCTCAGCCAAAGTGCAGTGGATATTCAAATGGAGGAGCACCCCGAGGAAACAGAGTGTCCAGCTAGCCAGCTCCCACCGAAAGGGCACACCGGTGCTAAGTTGGCCTCCTCAGAGCCTAGTGCACGGCCTGGTACGCATGCGGACTCAGGAAACAGATCTGCGTAGAAGAAACACAGGTGGCGAGTGGTTGCAAGCAGACACGCAGAATTTTGATGGAAAGTCTGGAAACATTGCTAGAAGACACCGCGGCATCTCAAAGGGGGCCCTGTGCCGGAAAGCGGAGAATGGGGTCGGTGAGGCCATTTGCTGAGGTCAGAACCAGGCAGGTGCAGTGATTCCGGGCCCACCACTCTGCAACGCACCGCCCGGTCGTCCTTCTCCGAGTTAAAAGGGGTCACCTGCGTAAGGTACTGAGAGGGGCAAGGAAGGGCTGCTTCAGCGGGCGTCGGCGGCGCTGCGGGTCCCGGGGTCTCACCGGCGTGGGGCTGGCACCGGACGGCGCGAGGTAAGCGCTCTTTATTCGCTAGAGTGAAACGGGCCCGCCTCTGGTCTGCGGGGAACAGGACCCCCGGCGCGGGAATGGCGGGGAGCGGCGGCGGAGCCGAGGTCAGGAGGACTGGGGGGGGGGGATGGGGAAGGGGCAGGAGGACCCGGGAGCGGAGGGGGAGACAGAGGACACGGGGGGGGCGGTGTCGGTGGCGGGGGGGCCCGCCGCGCTCCGGCCCTCGCCTCCCCGCGCCCCGGCCGTCCATAGCCTCAAGGAGACGGTCGTTCTTAGGCCCTCCGATCTCCCGGGAGCGGGGCCGAAGGAGCAGCCATCGCCGCCACGGCGACCGAAGGGGGGCGCAGAATCCTCCTCCGCCTCGCGGAGACGGGGGAAGGGGCCCGGGAGTCCGCCCCCCCCCGCCCCGGGCCGACGGGCGCACCCATTGGCCGGCCGGGCTCCGCGCGCCGCGCCCATTGGCCGGCCGCCGTGAGGAGCACGCGGCCACCGTGGCGGGCGCGCAGTCGGAGGGCGGCGGAGTGGCCGACGGGCCGAGGGCTGCGCGGGCGGCGCGCGGAGGGCATGGCGGGTGCGGGGCTGCGGGCGGCCTTTCGGCGCTGGCTGCCGTGCAGGGGCCACGACGGGCCGCGAGCCTCCTCGTCCTCGCCCTCCTGCCCTGGCTGCGGCCCCCCGGGTCCCGGCGCCCACTGCCCGGGCGCCCCGCGCTCCGCGCCCGCCCCGGCGCCCGCCGGCGGCGCCGAGCTCAGCGCGCACCTGTGGGCTCGTTACCAGGACATGCGGAGACTGGTGCACGGTGGGTGAGCCGCAGTGGGACGGGCGCCGGGGGTGTATCCGCGCGGCGGCAGGCGCGCGTCCGGGCGAGATACCGGCCGTCCCGGGCGTCGCTCTGCGGGGAAAGCGCTCTGGTGGGGCTCGCCGGGGCCCCGGAGCCCGAAGGCCCGGCAGCTCTTCGAGAAGCTCCAGCGGGCCATCCCGGCGGCCCCTGGGGCCGCCCCGACGCCCGGAGGCAGGTGGGCCGACGGGAGGTTTGTTCCCTGGCTCCGTATGCAGGAGCTCGGGGATCCCGAAGCGGCCTCCGGAATGCGGAGCCCCCACCGTCTTTCCTGGCGATCCCGCCTGCCGGGAGGCTGCGGCGGAAATGCCCCCAACCCCTTGTTTTCTTAGGGGCCCTCAACTGGGGCGGGAGCATCGGGACAAAGCCAGCCAGCGGCGCTGCCCAACCTCAGGGGACGCCGACTAGACTTTGCAGATGCCTCTAGATTGCTACCCAGGTCCGGAGCGCACTCAGCCCAGGAAGGGAAGGTGTTGGTTGGAGAAAGGAGACCAAGTTGCCCCAGGGCCCTGGAGTCCACAAGCGTGGCCGCATCCTTGGCCAGGACGCTTAACCTCCTGTACCCTTCTCTCCCGCCCTCTCTCCTCCATAAAAATGGGCTGATGAGGCCAAGAGCTGAGAATGCTCAGTAGATGTCCCCGGGTCTCCAGAGGCTCTGCCTCTGCAGCAGGCAGATGTGGTTTGGGCTTGACCCTATCACTGGCCAGCCCCGGGGGCTACTCAGCAGGCCTCACCCTCTCAGACCTTCAGTGTCCACAGCATTAAACACAATCCTGGGCCCACTGCCACAGGGTTGTAGTGATGACTCAGAGGGGACCAGGCCAAGAAAGCGCAGGGAGCTTCCAGAGGAGCCCCCAAGGGTGATGCTGCTCTCATTGTCTGGTAAGGCCAAGTGCCCTGGCTGGAAGATTCCAGCTGAGGGAATGGGGTTTCCATTCCGGATGGGACTCACCTGAGAAGCGCAGGGCAGAATAGTTAAGACCCCTGAGGAACGGTGGTTCTGAAGCCCTTGGGCCTTGCAGGACTCCACCCTGCACCCCCTCAGTGGAGAGGACAGGCCTGGGAGGCTGTTTAAGAAGAGGTGTTTGCTCTGGGTCTGGAGAAGACCTGCAGAGCAAACTGAGGAGCCTGCCTTCTAGGTGTGGGAGAGAACATAGTGAGGTCTGTTGGGCTTTGTCACGCCAGGTGCACCAGCATCTTCAGATCTCCACAGAGACACCCAAGCTCCTCTTGATGTGAAAGGGGCAAGGTCATTTCCAAGATGCCATGGGGAGCGCCAGGATGAGCCAGCTTTGCACCCCTGAGTCCTAACTCACCCTTCTTGACTGGGTTTTCTGGAGGAGGTTCTGGGCATTGAGATATGCCTTGGGCTAATAATGCCTGTGGGCAAGACTTGGCCAGGGAGCCAGGCCCCAGGCCACTGCCTCTCCGCCAGCCAGCGTGGGGATGCTGGAAGGCTAGGCCAAGGGGGAGAGTGATTAAGGCAGGTAGAGTGACCTGAACTTGAATCTCAACTCCATTGCCTACTGCTGGATGGTTTAAAGCAAGTGACTTCACCTCCCTGAGCCCATTTCTTCCTCTGGATGATGGATGAGTAAGTGTGACCACCTCACAGGATTGGAGTGAGGCCTGAACATGATGAGCCTCTAAGGCACCCGGCATGTGCACTCAGCAGCAGCTGGGAGGACAGCACCTGCAGTGAGTCTTACAGCTGCCGTGGGGAAGAGTTGGCCCTGGAGCCTGGGGCAGGAGTGGGGCAGGCTCGGAAGGGGAAAGGGATTGTCTGCACAGTGAGCCCAGTGAACTTGGGAGGCCAGCGCCAGTGAGGGGTACATCCAACTCACCGGGCCCCGCGCACCACCACAGCCCTGTGGAAAGGAGTGGGGGCCTTGTGGCCCCCAGAGCTACAGTTTCCTCAGTCCAGAAATCTAGTCAGGAGGGCAGACCCTGTGGGCTGCTCCCCCACCCTGCTTTGTCCCTCAGAGGATCGTCCATCCCTGCACGTGGCCAGCACCCTGCCAACAAGGGGCCACACCAAGCAGATCCCTCCCGTCCTGGGGGTCTACTGGACATTGTACCAGGAGTTAGCGTTGGGACCCAGGAACTCAGGCCTGTGCAGAGAGCAAGGTCCAGGGTCCTAGTGACCTCAGAGCGGCATCTCAGAAGCAGCTCCCTGGAGAGCTTCGGTCAGTGCGTCTCCCGTGTGTCCAAGCGAAGAGTATTCCGTCTGCACCCACCAGTCTGCAACGGCTGCTCTGGGCCGGCCCCACGTTGGCCTCAGGCCCTGAGAGGAACCAGCCACACTTGTTCCCCCACCCACACCCTG